CTCCAAAACTTTCTCCTCCGCAGGTCTATATTTTTATTTCCTAATAAAAGAATGAACATCTCTGAAGCCGTGCACTCTGATACTCCAGAAGACTGTGCGTCAGCAGCGTACACTAGTTTATAATTTTCTCATGGCAGTATATATGTGTAGTTACTAAATATTTACTATTTCATCATTCATCGTCGTATCAGAGAATTTTGAAAAATAATACGAATTTCTTTTTTTTCGAATTTTTTTTTCGAATAATACGAAATTTTTTCCCTAGTGGGTTTGTTTGTACTTGCTGTGTGCTCTAACATTTGAATCAATGAGGTGATTCGAACTTCGAGCTCTCTTTTCTGAACACTACCACTACAGTGGAGCAACAGGATATGACGTGAACCGAAATCTGTTACCACTTTAATGGATAGAGTGGTCAAATGATTGCCGTGAATGTTCTTCACAGGAATTATCTTAGGGTTAATTTGCCTCCGTCAGAGTCTCTGACGATCCACCCAAAGCTTGGACGTATAAGTGGATTCCGTGAATGAGCCCAAGCTCTCGGTCGACCTCGCCCCAGTGGAACAGAGATCGCTGGTAGGCTATCACTGATTAAGCCGTACCGGAAGCTGCATTAACGCGTTGAGGAAGTTTACTAGCCTTGGTCAAGCATCACTTTGAGGACCACTGGCCAATCGGCATGACCACCACTCTTCTGAAAGGGAATGTCATAACGACCCCATCTATTTGCTGTCATTGCTGCTTTTATGGTTAGAGATTTTGAGAATTTCGTTCTTCCCTGTCGAACGGCCATAGTGTAGATGGTTTAGAATCAGCCGCGTCGCGTTGAACACCGGAGCGCGCATTTTACTGGTTGTTCACCTGAAGCTTTTGCAGGGCTGTAATTTCTCGTCACGAAGAGGACGTAACGGCTTTGCATCAAAACTATAGATGAAAAACAACATTACGAAAAGCGACAATCGTGATTTGTGATCTCCAGGGAGCTTATATAGATGATAAGCTAGTCACGAAGAGGACGTAACGGCTTTGCATCAAAACTATAGATGAATATCTCTTGATCCCGCGGGTTCTCGACCCTAAAGGGGCTGTAATACAAGATGAAAATAATAGGAGAATTTTTGTTGAATTGCTATCACAGTTAATTCACCTACGATGCTATGTTACTGCACGTTGAACCAAGTTGAACGAGGGCTGTTTTTCAGTTCGAAAAAACGTAATTCTTCTTTACTGACAACCAGTTAATGTCCCAGCCATTGCTCGAGCTGAAACTTTTCGACAACTCTGCCGATTTGAGCCATTTTTGCTGCATTTCCGCCCGGGTGTGTCGTTAGGTCCGCCCGGTCAGAAAACTCGTTCAAAGAACCCCTTTCGCATGTTTTTCGCCAAGTGTGTCGTTGTCCACCCGCTGCCCAGCCAACCCGACAATCTATACATCTGCACCCAGCCCTCCCCCACCTCACCGCCCCCTCCAACCGCGAGAACCCCGCCCACCGTGTGGAAATCGACCGAAAGTCTGAAAAGTCGGCCTGGCCCTGAAACTCGTCCAGAGTGTCAGTAGTTCCTCTTGCACCAGGTCCCGCACCAAGACCCGCCACTCCAGCGGGAAAGACCCCGCAACCTCCTGGAATCTGAATGTGATTCTCAAGTCGTGTCCTGTTCAAGAATTCTTTCTGAAGTTGATCCGCACACCGACTGTCACTCCCACTTTTTGAGTCTTACCGAAAAAATCGGGGAGCATTCGTTCAGAAATATGGCGTCACTTGTTACGATCCTTCCACATCTGAAATCATGTGATGCAAAAGCACGTCCATCAGGGCTCGAACATGATACCGTATACTATCCGATGCTCCCCCACCAGTACACGAGTCACACAGTGTGGCGACCCAACACGTTTGGTTGGTAAATACCACCTCTTTTGTGCTCCGTACAACAACCTCCTGATCTCTGCTTAGAGAATCGTTTAGCAGATATGGAAAGCAGTTTTGAGATCAGCGTCCGAAGACGCATGAGTGAGTTATAACCTCTGTTCTAATAGCCACTCGACGCACCCCATTACTTAAAGAACTGAAGCCTGTGAATGCTCCAGGCAGTCCACTAACTGAGAGTTAAGGAGCACACGCAAAAAATCGATGAAATGCAGGCCATGGGGTAAGGAACCACTTAACCATCCATAAGAGCTCTATTTCGCACCCCTCCCCTGCCTATAATGGCGAAGCCCGCTAAATTGCCGCTGAACGGATGAGAGAGTTTCGAAAAATCACTGTCATTGCTGAAGGTCGCACTGAAAAAAATTGTGTCATGTTAGGGCGAATCTTTCCAACGCCAAGACTCTGCTCAGAACGGGATTGATTGGTCTCGAAATGCAATGGAATACTAAGAAAGGAAGCAAAAGAGATATTGACATGATTTTCAATATTCAGGAGCATGCGACTAATGTCCTACATTAGCTTGGCCGGGAATGTCTGCATGCTGCTTTCGATTGTCATCATTTTCTCAGTGAGTTTTGTTTAGACTCTTCCAAGAGTTTTTTCAGTAAGCACAATCTATAATAGTGACCGTTAAGCCTTTGTAATCACACCCTCATTGTAGGATTACCCTTGTCATCCAAAGGGACTGACGATTGAAGTTTTCCAGTTTTCAAAGGCATCGCCGTCAGTCAGTCAGTTGTGTGGAGCGGCACCCCACTATAAACACTCGGTGTCAGAAAAATTCGGCGCGGGGAGGGGGTAAAAAAGTGTGACTGTGATTTTAAGTGCTGCTCCCATCACACCTAGTTTCGCAGGAGCTGCGCAAAATCTTAGAAAAGTAGGCAGCCGTGAACGCTCGAAAAAAAACTGTACACTTCCGGTGCAGTAGTGTACCATTCTCCCCGGGTGAAAATTAACGGGACCGGGACTCGAGTGGTGGCAATCGGGTGCTGTTCGGGACTCATCCGCTCTGCCGCAGTGCCAGCCAGCCATAGCCAGACACGCTATTCGCCTGTGCCCGCTCACTTCTGGTTGTTCTGTCCCATAGAGTGCGAGTTTCGCTGCGGGATATTGGAATTGACGCGAGTGCTGCACATTGAGGATAGCGCGGGCGGAAGATGTAGATGACCTCCGGTAACGGTTTTGTATCTGTTTCTATGCCCATTAGGATGAATTAAAGAGCCCAGTGGCCGCTGTGGGTTTCGGGCCAGAATGATCAGTTAAAGGCACGGTCCGCGATAAAAAGCCTAGGTGATTTTGCAGAAATGTGGAAGAAAATTCGCCAAGTGAACCATCTATGAAGAGAAATGCCAAAGGGAACGTTGGAAACGCATTCGTCAGGCCTCCTCTAGCCTCAAACAACTGTAGAGGTAAAAGACCGAAAAGACCGCGCGCTGGGACAATTCCCGTCGGCTGATTCCCAGTAATGAACCCTATGACTCTACAAGAGACATTGAATGCATCCACTCCATGATACTTGCCCGGGAGCATTACTTTTGGCTGGAAGGCCGACTTTGGAGGCGGAGTCTGGAGGCGGAGTCACTGGAAAAAGGGATGTACCACTGAAGCAACTTTGCGCCTTAATCCCTTTACCGTACAACTTTCCGCCGCGAAACTGGCA